ACGTTCGGAATCAGTAGCTGGAAAAGTAACATCTAAAGGCGGAATGCGAATTGCGCCCGAACGGAATTTATTTCAGCTGGTATGGGTATTGTCTACAGCGAATGCCTTTTTCTCTTGATTATGTTCCTTGACCTGCGCTTGCTAATATGCCAAATGTAAGTCTACTACTGAAAGAACATTCGCACTTTCTCAACTACGGACGGGACTGGAACCAGCTTGTTTATCCGGAGAAAATCTACGCAGAACAGACATTTTCTGTCTGTTGACCATCAGAACTGCGAGAGGGCTTTAAGTTCTTTGTCGGTTATCACAGAGATGTCTATCGTAAACAAATGCATTTAAAATGTGATGAATCAATGAACTCCAAGAGAGTGAAACACAGAACGAAGACCGCCAACAGTGCCCAGTGTCTGTAAACAACCGAAGAGGTTAAACCAAACAAAATACTCCGAAAAGGGACTTTCGGATATCAAACCAGAAACTCGTTTCACACAAACCTACCGATAGAAAGGAACCGCGTGCAGTCCAGGTAGCTTGGTTGCGGTAGATAGGCCAGCAGAGGTTCCTCCGTCCAACTGTGCCAAACCCATTGTGAATCGGCGCCAGCATGGTGCAGCAATGGTGCGACTGTAGTCAGGGGGTTTGGTCCACAATTGCAACTGAGGACTATAATCAGACGGAAGTCGTTGAAGTGATACGTGTTTGGCGAGCGGAGCTGCACGCATCAGATGCCAGAGTAAAGCGAATCGGGCCTGTGCGTCCACTTGGATGCGTAAATCGGGGGACCGCATTTGGGAGAGGATGAAAGACTCAACTGTAGACCCAGTCCCCGCGAACAAGTTAGCCGAGACGTTAGAAGGGCCATATATTGGGCGAGACTCAGCGAATGGTGTAGAATTAGGAGAGACGGGTGGAGTGAGCTGATGCAATCGAACGAGCAAGTTGGCTGCATCCTCATTATAGGCGAACTTGTCCGGGGCCAGATAGGCCCAAAGTGAGACACCCAAGCGCTAGATAACCATATATGAAGGTAAATACAGTGACTTCAAGACAAATCACACAACAAACCAATAGAAAAGCTGTCTATCATCAGATTAGTAAATAGTGACTGAGCAGATATAACAGTGGAAGAATGCGTCTTATTTTAGAGTGGATGTTAGGATCACAATGGTGGTAGCGTTCAGCCTCCGTTTGATATTCAGCGAAGCATACCTTTCCCCGTTTGACCTTGCATCACACAAAAGCCCGTCGATTGGTCGATTCCTTCGCCCTGCTTGTACAACGGCAATTAGACCAAAACCTAGCGTGAAGGTGTATGCCAATACCAATTGAATATACCATATAGGCTGTTAAGCTTGAGTATCATTAACAGTATTGCTCGTGTATCTGTTTACTTCCTGAGCCCGTCTGGTTTAGCCCCTGGGAATATTTTGATCTAGATATTGCCCCAACTTTTATTTACTTTTACTCATAATTGCACTGGTTCACCAAACCGGTAGCAGTGAATGTTGCACATGCGGCGTGTTGTCTAAATCTCCGAGCGCTGTGAAATTTTGAATCATTGTCATTTCTACACAACGAGCTGGAGGATAAATTGTAAAAATTCGAGCAGAACAGGTGAGCAACAGTCACAAATCTCATGACCGACTTATTCAAGCAATTGTATGAAAAACGATCAAATCAGACTGGGTGCATTGAAGCTAATCGAGAAGAAAATCGACAACTACTTTTCGAGTTGTTGAAGGTATGAGGTCTGCCGATACAAAATAAATGATACATCTGTAAACTAAAAACTGGTGGTGGTCACATGATTGCATCGTGAGATATCATCATAGGAAAGTAATGCATTCTTTAGCTCCAAGAAGCACTTATCAACCTCGATGGACTCACAATTTTAATTGATTATCAACTATAGTGAGGTGAGAAGCGCACGAATGAATCACAAATGTGGGGGAGCAACCTGTAGTGATATTTTATCGTCAAGGAAATAATGATGACAAACTGATATATGCATTGTGGACATTACCTAACTCAAAGGCATGCGCTGAGCACGCGATCACGTGCGGCATGGGTATTGATGAACTGATGCATAGAGGGTTAGTTTTATGTTATAAATTAAAACTTTTCTCAGCAAAATTTCAAATCTAGCCTTGATGACTTGTGAATTGTTTTATACAATCCCACAATTTGATGTCCCCAAGATCATACGACGAGGTCTTTTTGTCGTCATCCCAAGAGTACATAAGGTTACCGGCAGGATATTAGAACCATTTGCATTTGTGTCTCTTCTTGCAGCACAACAAAATGAATCAACAGATAAAAATGAACTGTTTATTTGTCAATTTCACTCATTCCTGAATGAACAGTTTGGTGATCTAGCAAAATGAGCACAGCATACTATTATTTAAAAATAAACTAAATCACTCATCTGGCTAGCGTAATGGTGGATTATGTTTCCTCGACTCTACCGTTTTCCCCAAATATCTATGTACATCAACCAAATACAATTTCTATATTTTGGCTCTTTTCTGAGACTGCAATCTCTAAGATATTCCGCGAACTCATCATGACCCCGCGCCTATGTGAGTGGAATACGCGAAAATTCGATTTGTATGGATGGACTTTAAGTTTTGACATCTCAATCGATTTCCCGATACCGGGCCAAACTCGACTACTTCCTTCGCTCTTAAAACCGAGAACGCAACCATTATTTTGCGATGAAAACCAATTGTTAGAGGACGGATTGGTTTCCACGATATCTCAGATAGCGAAGCAGGTGTTTGCGAGGGAGGTGTAGACAGTGATCTTATAAGGGTTCTATAGGCAAACCAGTAGACCGAATGTACACCTGGGTATTCCACCACCGACGCTACTCTGCTCTTTTGAGTTTCCAGCGGCTCCGACATAACTGTGAAACGATAAAGAAAAGAAAATACAAAATGATTTCCCCAGAACCATTGGAACATTTCAACCTAGCCTTTGTACAAACCAAGGGTGGAAGACAGTAGATTCTCTCCGAAACGCTTTTAAGCGTTTCAACTACCTGGATCTGATTTGGTAACACCTGATGAGTCTTCCACCAAAGTATGACATTTGAATGCGGGAGGCAGCTTCTCGGAGCTGTGGGTGAGAGTTGAAGGTCAGATGAACGACATTAACGCCAGGAATGTTCCAAGTAAACTAGACAGTCCTCCAATTGGAGGAGTAACTCGTACATTTCATTAACTCCATGGAGTACGGCTGCTTTGAACAAACTAACCAAGCTGGTGCCGAACTATCTATACATTGTCCCTGTTTGATACAAAGTTTCACAAGAGGAGAAAACTTATGAGAAAGGGATTAGCATGTGGTATTTCGCTTCCAAATTCTTACCAAAAATGTATTGGTCTCCGTGGCTAGGAACGCAAGCAGACGGCCGCTAAGCACGGGCAAAGTAAGTCGCATCTTGCTTTCGCCCGAGTCCGGTAGCGAATCCGTCGTGACCGGTGTGGAGGAAACACGGTGGCTATTCGGTGTGGTCCAACCATGTACGGAGGTGGATGCGTGGAACAGTTCGAATAAGGTATACAATGCCATCGCTTTCAGATCGAAAAAGTCCACTTCGGTGGCCGCGTAAAACAGACACACAAGCCATTCGGGTAAAACCAGCTCATCTGGAAAGAATGTGTAATCGAAGACAGGATTAGGTATCACGTGACAATGCTTGAATTCAATCAAACTAAGTGGGAGGAACAGACCAAACGAATAACAGACGAAGTCCTTGAGGGAAGGAATTGAAGTCAGTCTCGGAACGGAAATAAAGAGTGCGCAAATCACACGATGGTCACACGATGTCAATCAGTGCAATGTGCAAGTCACAAACTGAGTGAGGATAGACAGATAAACGATACTAGTGATCAGTTGTGAGTAGCTGGTGAAAATTTTAGAAAAATGCAATCACCTTGTCCACGGAAGTGAGGTCTTATGGAAGAAAAATAGATATTAATAGCGACGCTGACAAAAAGAACAGGATGAACTAACCTTGAAGTGATCACGTTTGGAAATTGTATACTTGGCCCATCAGTACTGAATGTGACTTAGTGATCTTCACAGATGGAGCACTTAATTTTCTGGTTAACCATTAGTAGCAGTGGCCGAATTCGTAGTTCACTGAGTTTAACACGTCTGGATTTGATAGTGAACAGGAATGATCGAATTAGTTAGTTGTGATACGCACCAATCGATGGTATCCCTGAAGACAAACAACGCCCCCCAGAGTCCATTGAGATTATGAAGAAGGTATCAAACTATGTCATCGAGCTCTCCGCGTTTGGTGGAAAACGAGTCTGAATGTGAGCACGCAACCAGAGAGAGAAAACTGCAGTCCCCTGCAAAACTTACAAGGAACTGAGAAATGTCAACAAACATGCCGAACTTCTTTCCACTTTGTTCTGTATCCCAATCCACCTGCCTGCTGTTGTAGTTATTGTTATTATTGTTGTGATGTTGGCACCATGCTTGCCTACAAGCCTATGTCATATATATATATATATATATATGTATATATATATATGCATATGTATATATGCCAGGGGTGGTATACTTACGTATGCCAGAGGTCGTCAAGTGAGGGCGTCATCGGCAACGGTGCGTAAGGCAGTTGCATCAAAGCAGGAAGAATATAGCGGTGGCCAAAATGAGAAAAAAGCGAGTGCTTTCGAAAGGTAGGGTGGAAGCATACGGTGAACGATTGCGCTATTGTGTATGAGGCTTTCGAACAGCAAAATTATTCCATACCAGACTGGCATTTTGCCGATGAAATAAAAGCAGGGAAAAGTGGTCAGAATGTTGCTTCTCGAGGAGGCTCGCAGAGAGAGCGCACAATGGAACAGTAAGAAGAAATGAGGGGGACAGAGTGTACGAGAACACAAGAGTCGTACCTAGGGACGAGAGGAGGAAAAGTAACACATCCATGTGACGAATATGGAGGCCGAAACCGAGGTAGTTGATTGATCACAGCCTTCGCGAACGTTAATATGTGAAGCGCGATTTTGAAGGTTTGTTGATTGAGCGGCAGGAAAAGCGATAATGACAGAAGTTAAGACGCAGTTGGAATGGAAGTCAAATTGGACACCCGAAAAAAACGAATGAACCTGTTGACGCATATGGTGCTCAATCACTTCGTTTGGTACAGAGTCCTCAATGGCTACCGCAATCCAACGCAGTTCAGTTCAGTTTCCACAAGCAATAAGTACGCACTTTGTGCGCCGCTTTTAGCTGCTGTATTATAACGGCGCATTCGGATAAAATAGCATCAGGAAGATTGGAACGTTGAAAGCAGATTCAAAGAGAAGATAGAAAATCCATATAGATTAGGGTTGCAAGTAGATGCACGAGTGCCACTGTTTGCGACATTCAACTATATCACTCAGTGTCTCTAACCCCCGGTTACGATGATCTCGAGGTCTCCATCCAGGGGGCCTAACGCGACCTATATGACCGAGTGTCCCGGTTAGCGTTTTCATATCGAACAAAGTAAGTGAAACAGGCATCGATCATTGTTCGAGCGATCCTCAAAATACTTTCCTCAGTCAGAATACCGACTCTGCTGTCAATGAAAAATGAGATCATGGAGCTACCAAACCAATATTGGGTAAAAACACCGTAGTGCAAGAACACAAAACCGAAACAAAATGTAGCCTCGCTTGTTAGGCGATAACTCACATTGGTGAAAAGTTTACGCCAGAGTTAGTATGAGAAGGTGCAAATGGGCTGTGCAACACACATATATACATATAAACACAGATGATGATGATTCAGTTTGGCAATCCGGGTCGGGAGAAATCAAACTGGGATGACTGATTAGGAGAACGAAAAAAATTAGGGTATCGTGCATTGTGATCTTCCCAGTCCAGTTCGAGAACGCGAACGATTGCGAATAGAAACAGGAGAGGCAATCGGTCACGCACCACAACGTGAAAGCAAACAATTACCTAGTTGATAATATCTCCGCGATTGGCAGAATCTCACTGGCATCGAATGATGAACTGGGGTTAGAAAGACAGGGAAAAGTAGTTGTGTATGCGAAACATTTAGGAACTACGACAGGTCATAGATCTATCAAATCTCTTCGTGCGAATTCGCAGAACAATCGAGCAGAAGCAGGGCAAAAGTAAACCACCAGCTCCCGGTGATATTTGCAGGCGTACGTGTGACCCTATAAGCCAACACAATTACGGTTCCAGAAAACTTCTATGCTTTCTAACAGTGAGATGGTTTTCATATGGTGCAACAGTAAATGAAAGTGTGTATGATGATTATTTCAGATCATAGAGGAACCAGTTGATAAGAGCCATATTGGTTGTCAAAAGATCACCCCATGATCAGCGTAGACCGGGGGCATGGTTGAAAATAGCTATTTATGTATATAGGGTTTCAGTTTCCGGATTTTGACTGCAAATAATAAACTGTAAGCATAGACAAAAGTCAAACCATAGCTTGTACAAATTACTCGCTTCAGATCTGGCAGCTTTCATTCGTCATTGACGGAATGGTCTGTGCCCAAAGCCGATGTGACCAACTTCTGCGGTTTGGCACAGCCATATTGGAAAGGTGTATAGTCCGCACTGCAGCTTGATTTGCCGTGCAAGCTATCTTACTGATACCGATAAAAGTTTTCGGTGTGAGATGAAATATCACTGAGACGATAATCAATCTGGATAGGTATGCATGAGTCACTTGAATTTAGTTCACAAAATTTACTGTTTCCTGTTCTGGAATATTAAACAAGATCAGGTATCAAGCGGTGCAAAACATGGTCACTAGTTTGAAAACGACTAGACGCACCCACAAGGGAGTTGAGATTTTGTACCAATCTCTTTGAATATGCGCAACCGGATTGATTGAGATCCAGCTAGAAAGTGGAACGCAAAAGATTTATTGACTATGTCCCCATCAGATCTGTTTCAGTAGGAGTGTTCATGCAACTCCAGGCTCCCTCTGATCTGAATGAATGACCCTGAGCCTATATATTCTAGTATTTTAATATATTCTAAATACAAATTTGTAATCACAAAGAAGAATAAAGTGGACAACAAATTCCTCAGACCCCCGCAGCGTTACCGGATCACGGAAATCAAGATGGTGTGTCATTAGCACAGTGCACAACAAGTTCCAGTTAAAGGAGAGGAGAGTGTGACTTTCGATGAGCAATACCAGTGACTAATTTTACCCAACAACGGTAAGTAAAAAAACACTTTTGCACCCATCGATTCAGAGCGGGAGTGTAGGGTGCTTCATTCATTTTCTCGTTCTACACTGATAGTCCTTCTATTTCGCACAACTTCATTGTCTGAAAATATGCTGATTTTCGCTGCCCCGCTCATATGTGCTAATATAGTCAAATGTTCCGTTTCGCCGGCTTTGCGAGCTCCGCCAGTTGCTTGCAATTACAGTAACACCAATGGAGGCGACGTCACCCCAAGTACAGAAGATATAACCTCGAGCGACGATAAAAAGTTTGCGAAAAAAGTGCGCAGATCAGTGAACAGGCGAAAATGAATCCAGTTAAAGTGAGCTACAAGTTGCAATACCTCGTCCACTGCCGCTGGATCGAGTTCCTCTTCATCATCAAGATAAGCCCTTGCTACTACACTTTATTCAGTAATCTTTATCTTGCTGTGTATAGTCTAAATATACCCAAGGCCAATACCGTAAAGTACCTTCGAATTGGGCAGTGGTGGTCAGATGTTTAGGTTACCAAATTGTGACCCGGGATTCGGGGTTCGAAGCGCTCCACCGGTACCCGTCTTCCGAATTTCTGTATTTTCCCAAGCAGCTGTTGTACGGCCGCGGCCCCCTTCCTGAAAGTTGACTGTACATATGCATTCAATAAATAAACAAGGAAGTAAAAAGACATTTTACTTGTTCTATCTCGCAGTCTTGCCCAATCAATCAACGTTGAAAACATTTTTTTCTCAAATATTCGCCGGTTATCCTTCGATATCTCCAGAGTTGATCAGATTCTTGTTCTCCAAAAATTCATCTTTAAATTCTTGTCTGAAAAACACATTCTGCTCTCTCTCTCTTCGTTGGACTGCTGAAAATTTGCCTTTTAGATGCATAAAACCTTTCCTGACTTGACTATACGACATTGGGTTACGTATGCACCAACAGTTAGCGGACTACGGTCGTTAGGGTACAAATGCAGCGCGAGTGTGTGAAGTTAAAATGTGCGAGGTGATTTCGGATAAAGGAAAACGAATCAACACGTGGCCTCGACTAGTAAAAATCGTCACGAGACTGACCTGAACCGGGCACAGCAATCAGATCGCCACAGAACAACTCGGGCAACGTTTGCGATGCATTCGCGTCCGGGGTTTGTTTGCAACTACCACAAAACTGTCCCTCACTGATTAGAAAGGGGAAGTTGGACATTTGAATGAGGAGGCAGCACAATTGTGAAAACAGTGGAAGCCAGCCTGGTGGGACCACAATGTGCTCACGGGCAGAAGCGGAATGGTANATGGTAGACACTACCAGGTGGGCATAATCGCGCGGACTTGGAGTGAAGCAAAGAGGTCAGAAATGCATTGATCTACGAAAAAGAACCAGGGAGGGCAAGACAAGACAGAAAAAAATTTGGTAACCGTGTAACAAATATTCTGATAGATTTAACGTTTGAACATTACGTGAGCGGCCTTTAAGGTATTGCGAAGGGTCAGTGCAGTCGGATCATCAGGTTTGATAGACAGCCCACGTGAACTAAGAAACCGCTGGTAACTCTACAGATAATCAAATGATGTTGAGAAAAGTAAACTAAACTGAAATGTGCATAGAGCTAAGTGTAAAGGTTGCTGTTATTAAGTCACTATAAAAGTTCTACTTCACAGTTGAGACTAGACAAAAAAGCTTTTTAGTCACATTGTAGAACGCATAGGTGCAAAAATTCCATCCGGCCCCCCAGAGTTCCTCATTTGGGAAATCGAAAACATTATTCAACTACCATCTTTAACCTCGATCGCTGAACGGATGTGCTGTGACAGCGGTCTCCGTTTTATTTTTCAACATCTGGCTGGAAGAAATATTTCCAACTACTGTCCTTAAGGAAGATACCGCTGAATTTCCACAACAACTTGCATTGAAACTTGCATAAATGGTCAGATTACGCAGCAAGGCAGATTTGCTAAATATCAAATGATTAGTCTTTATTAGCCTATGGGTATCGACTGTACGGCTAACGCGAGGCTTTTGCATACATTAATCATGGTAGACGTCTTTTCCGTTCTTTACCTGGCTCACTATCACGCCTGTACTATTGAGGCCTTTTGTGGTTCGCCACTCGAGCCTCAGGGTCATAACTGGCGTTTTCCCTCAAATGAATCCTGGGAGTAGCTAATTGTGAACGTTCTCGCTCAATCTACTCAATGGACAAATAAACCATTAACTCATCGGCCCACTAACAACCGTAGACTGAACAGTAAAATCAATTATGTACACCAATTTCTCCAAACATCTCTTACTCTCGCTCTGTTTGCGACCCAAACCCGAATCCCAACCTAAGCGAAAACCACTCAAGCTTAAGCTTCAAACTACGTTTTTCACTTCTTGTCTACCCAGAACTGTTGTCTGTGCCTTTATCCACTAACAGGTCATCGCAATGAGAATATCAAAGCCTGATTTGTCTAAATGAGGATTCTAGCCAATGCTGTTGAAGCTTAGACTTATTTCTTTCAATCATTAATTTGTGTGTTGTATCACAGAGGTAAGCAATGGGATCATAATGACCATCGGCAACAAATACGGAGGACAGCAAACCAATGCCACGTTTGACTTTGGTTGAAGTTGAGTGTTTGTTCAATCAGTAAAAACGTCATCTTCATCTTCTCCTTCACATTTGCCAGTACGAAACCGACCATCATTTAGACAGGAACATGAAATAGCAATAAAATTACTAATCTAATGATGGTTCAGGGTAAATGTGCGGCTCGTCGGATGTAATACTTTCTCGACACACATGATCTAATGATCTTCCTCACACACTGTGTTGCCCTGACACGGTTCGTTCCAAGATGTTCGGTCTGCGTGGTATATTCGCATTTCAATCCGTTATCTATGTTCGTACAACTTGCCTGTTGTCGATCGAGGTATGAGAGCAAAATATAGGACAACAATAGACTCCATTTTGGTACAATGCCCACTTGTGTGTAGCTGAACGAAGATTGATGTGAGGATGACAGAATCCATCACCTTCTGAGGTGTCAACCTATCTAGCTCCAGCACCCAACCGCACTCTAACTGGGGAGTAATACAGCAAGCGAATAAGTTTTGTTATTTGGGCAGCTACATCTCATCCAGTGGACGCATCACGGGTGTCAGCTCGCATACAGAAGGCTGGGTTGGCATTTGCCAACTTGAGACAAGCCGAATGTATGCTGCGGCAGTTCGACCAGTTCTGATATACGGCGCAGAAACTTGACCATTAAGGAAACAGGATAAAAATAGACCATCGGTGTTCGAACACAGCTGTCCATACAGCATTGCACGAATCTGGTGGGGCAGCCAGACGAGCAATGCTGAGGTTAGGCACAGAGTTTTAGGTAATCGCCTGCTTGAACAAATGGTCGACCTCCATAGATTACGCTGGTTGAGACATGCGATGCGCATGTCCCCAGATAGTTTGCCACTACGAGCGATGTTTGCTGAGGCAGGTAGCGTTTGAAAAAAGAAACAAGGGCGGTCAGACTAAGACCTTGGTATGAGGGTATGAAAACCCTAACCAGGAAACTGGTTCATATAGCTCCCCTTTGGCTCCCTAACTGGGGACCCCGAGATCATGGTTACCGATGGTTAGAGACACTGAGTGATACGGCTGGGTGTCGTAAACAGTGGCGTTCAGAACCTTCTCAATTTCTCTTCAGCATTAGTCCACTGAAATTCCAAATTTTCTCTTTGGTGCTACTTTCAACCTTTCCTGTCTTTCTCCTAATATTTATCCAAATGGGCAACCAAAGGATAGCAACGAAAACCGGAGCACGATAGTGCATGGTTAATGGTTGTACAAACTGAACCGAAATGAAACTGGGGTAGGGGACATTATAATTGTAATAGGCATTATTAGTAACTGCCTGTTATGATTCGAAAGAAACTCAGGGGACAAAATTGGAACTGACCCGATCAGGAGAAAACTTCAAGCCATGCATACAGAAAGTGCCCAAAAACTGTCGAAATTTCCCGATAGCAGTGGCAATCGCAGTCAGATCAATTGATGCGTTCATTGGTGTAGTCGGACTGGTCTCGTGGTTAGTTTTTGCACCGGAAACAGGTTGGACAGTGTTTTGGTCGAATACGGTAATCGTGTACTGAGAGCAGAAGTGGTAACGGATTGGGAGTGTGTAGCGAAGAAAACAGCGTGCACAAACAGAGGTTAGTGACCGTTACGATGGCGTGTGAAAAGAGGGTAAAAGAAACAACAGGAGCATAAACTACTGGAATCCCTTGATCCCATTCGAGGATATTTCGCACACTTGCATAGAGTTGTAAATATGTGTGTCTATAAACCATGCTGCCTTGAAAGTAACTGTTCTCTTCAAAAACCGG